TATATATATATATATATATACACACACACAAATATTATGTATAAGTATGTATTACAGTGGCTTTGAAGTTGGCATATCCAAGCAGATTTTAAAGATTTTAAACTTTTTAGATTTTTAAATATTTGAAATCACATAATAATCACATGCTATTTACCATTAGGCTTGGCTCCTTGTCCATTTGAGGGTCCAGCTTTAGCACCATATCCTTTAAATCAGACCCAACACATGTAAGATTCAAATTATACTGAAATTAAATACACACCATATGCATTACACACAGAAAAAGTTTACCTGGTTTAGGTCCCTTGGTTCCACCACTGGGATACCCCATATTTGGAAGCGAAGAGTCTAATTAGGGAAAAATACTTTAGATTTGTGTAATATCCTCAGTTCAGTATTATCCACACTGTAATAATTACACTGTGAAATCACGTTTATTTAAACATCCAACATATTACCTGTATTAGGTTGCTTAGCTCCATTAGCATATCCTCCATATCCTAACCAAAACCAATCCCAAATCAGTTTATAAGTGCAGTTTACAATACAGACAATGTAGCAGAAGGAAGTTGACTAAATAGAATTATTATGTACCTTGTTGTGCCTTGGTTGCCCCACCATTGGTGTATCCTGCAGAGATGCTATATCCTGTAAGTCAGATGAAAAATGATTTTTCATTCAAACCAGGACCCTGTTCTTCATACCTCACTTAATACATTATATTACATATGTCAGACCTTTTAATGTGAGTTACATAATCAGATTACTTTTTTTAAAGTAACTAGTAATGTAACATTACTTTTTAATTTAGAAGGAACTATCTGAGTTACTTTTTCAAATAAGTAAACTCCAGTTACTTTGTTTCCCATGTATTGACTGACAGCTCTCAAGTTGCCATGTTGAGAAAAAAGTGCAGAGGTGTTGTGTACAACAACAATTAAATATGTTAAATAAGACAAATATCATTTATGTATTTAATCCCATTTTATTACCAATGCCTTTGCTACTGACCTTTGATGATCCAATTCAACCATACTAATACGCAAAAATGACACATTTGTGTTTCATTTTTGTTATTGCTGAATAGTGTTGAACTTTCTTCTCCTGCGTCATATTTTTCATGCAATTTGTTTGAGCTGCACCCTCTACTTTACAGATGTGAATTTACATTTCCTTCAGCCTGATTGATTTCACTTTTGGTGTGAAAGGGCTTTTACATGTGTAAAATAACTTTTTTTTTTTTTAATTAAAAACAAACAAGCAAGCCCTGCCCAGATTTAAAAAGTAACTTAAAAGTAACATAACATTACTTTCCATAAAAAGTAACTAAGTAACGTAATGAGTTACTTTTTTAGGGAGTAACACAATATTGTAATGCATTACTTTTAAAAGTAACTTTCACTTTAAAGAGTTTCATTACGACTCTGCTTAATGACCTGCAATCTATTCCTGTTTATGTGAACAAATTGTGCTTAGGCTACTGAATTGTTGCTATGACTCTGAGGTTAGTGTCAAAAAACATTCCAGGATTGACTGAAATCAACAACAACTAAATCTAGATAACCAAGTAATCCTTGTACAACGAACAGAACACATGATAATATTACAACTTTTCCTACAACTTTCCTAGTAAAGCTATATGTTACTATTAATTTTGGGTCCATTAAGAGTACCAGTCCATTTCCTGACAATGAAAGAAAAACTGGATTACATTTCATGTTTCCCCCCCCGTATTGACTTCTGTGATAACATTTTCTTTCAAATCTGGCAATAGTATCATAAAAATAATTTAAAATGACATTTCATTAACAAAGGCTATATACAGAGAGAATTTACCTCCAGATTTTGAGCCTTGTCCCTTTGGCCTTGTCCCTTGTCCCTTGGCAGCTGCAGGCCCAGCACCATAACCTAGTGAACATAGTTAACAAAACACTGTTAATGGAAATATAGTGCAAATACCAATGTGGTTAAAGGATTGTTATACATGTCTACATCTCTTTAGCAATATCAAATGATAGTTTAACTGCCAGATTTTGTATTAGATTATCCACTAAAACATCTAAATCTTTACATTTCATTTCAAACAGACATTATTTCTATTGTGGAACACAAAGGAGAAATTTTGAACAACAAACTGCTCTTTTTAATGTGATTACAGTGAATTTTAGACAATAAAAATACAGTTGCAAGAAATATCTGTCAGTGTTTTTTTGGAATTACTGGGATTTCTGCATTGAAAGAAATTGAAAGAAATAAAGTAAAAACAGACAGACATTTTTTTAGGTGAACTAGTACAAAGAATATTTAACAGACTCACCTAGACCAACTCCTTTTTGGGGATGAGCACCCATTAAATTGCTGTAGCCTCCGGACAACATTAAACAGACAGTGAAAGAATTTTAATGAAAGTAAATACAAAATGGCACTTGTACACATTCTTAACAAGATAATTTTATATACAAATCTGTACTAACTTTAACACATTGACTCTTGGCTTTAAACTCACCCCCATAAGATGGAGCTTTGTAGCCATTACCATTTCCATAACCTTGAAAGACAAATGACAGGAATTTAGTATAATTAGAAAGTTTTGCACAAAAAAAAGTCTAAATAAGTGATAGCCACATGGTATAAAAAGAACAGGCTTTTAATTCTGTAATACAGTGTTGTTTTGAAATCCCTAAACTGTGTAAATGAACATACTAAGTGTATTTTTTTTAATAATTTTTGAGGAGAAAAAAAATCGAAATGGCCAATTATGCTTTATTTATTATTTAAAGGGGTCATATGATGCTGCTAAAAAGAACATTATTTTGTGTATTTGGTGTAAAGAAATGTGTTTATGCAGTTTAAGGTTAAAAAAACACATTATTTTCCCCAAAACTCGCGTTTGAATCATCAGTGGCAAATCCTTTAAATGAAAACGTACTTACAGTCTGTGAGTCAGAGCAGCCGTCATTGTAGTCTACTCTTCCAGGATCAGGAAACAGTCCTCCATAAAATGTGCTGCACACATCTGGATATTTGGGTTAAACTGTTCTGGAACAGTGTTGTAAATACAACTTAACCACTGATTTCTAGTCGTGTCCTCTTGAAAGACCAAACAAAGTAGTTTCGCTTTCACAACGAAGCACACAGCGTCTTCACGACATGGCTGCAGCGTCAACAAAACTACAGTGAGACTAAAAGTTACGCCTTCTTTCTTCGTGTGAACATTTGGGCAGCGTTATGCAAATCTTCCCACATCATGACGTAGACATGTGGGGGCGTGTTAGAACGAGCCGTTTTAGGTAGGTGTGGCTGACTCTTAACTTTTATAAAGAATATCTCTTTGGATTTGAGACTTTAGTCTTTGCAACTTTACAGATCTTCTTTATGCACCAAGAGCTTGTAACACTCCAAAGAGAAAGGAAAACTTGAAATCGCATCATATGACCCCTTTAATAATAATAAACATTTTTTTTTTTAGTTTTGGTGTACATTAGATCACATACCTCCCCTCTGCTTCAATGCATGTTGGTTCATCATTCCCATGCCTGTTCCACCTGATAACAATCAAATATGTGTTAAAATAGAAAAACGTATGATTATTTGATTATGTGCATATTCTACAAGCAAAGTAAACTCATACCATACGGGGGACGACCTCCGTATCCAGGCTTATTTTGTGCACTCCCATATGCACCTGAAATACAGCACACAGGTGTATGATGATTCAAATTTTAAGATGCAATTCACTAAATGATATTGTATATTACATACTACATGGTGTGCTTGCTTTTCTCAAGCGGGGCTTACCTGTACCTTTGTTTACAGGATAACCTGATAATAAAGAAAAGCTTTCAAGTTAAGAATTATCTTGCATTATCCATCCATCCAGTAAAATCATTGCTACAAGAAATTTCGAAAATAAATAAATACACTTACAACAAATAAAATTGCTGTACATGCACAGAAATATGCTAAATATAAAAATACTTTAACCAAGCAAAATAAAATAACTTGTGAATAAAAAACAATGATTTATTTGATCACATTTCATTGTTAATATTTAATGAGTGAAGTAAGATGAGTTTTAAGCAGAGCACTAGGGAAAAATAGAGGTATATGTATTAACATATTGTGTTTGAGAAGAACGGAATACTTAAAAAACATTTTTAAGGTAAAGAAGAAATAAAATCAGTCCAAAAGATAAAAAAATCATGCATATTAGTATAAACTCTGTTCTTGCTCACCGTTTCCTTTCATATTTGCTGAGTTGCTATTTTGACCCAAACCATAATCTGAAAATAACAGATGTATTGAGCTATGTATTTCTCCAAGATGAACATTCGCAATACCAGAAAATCAAGTTACAAATTTCATGATTACGTAAAAAAAAAAAATAATAATTACATTTCCAAATAAGTGTTATGCATCAACATAGAAAGATTCACAATACCTCTTGGTGACATTTGTGCTGCACCACCATTTGGATTTTGAGGTTTGTACCCTTAAATAATAATGAAAAAAATAAATAAAGTAAATCCTGTCAGTGGATAACCTAGTGTACATGACAAACTTACAGAATCACACAAATCAAAGAAAAAAATATATAAATATAGCTGAGGCTTATGGATGCTCCCTTGTTGATTAAGAATGTATATACAGACACATATCTGTCACATGTTCAATACAGCATTGCTATATACAATAACTATCAAATGCTTTATACCTGTAGCTACTTTTATCATGCAAAGTTCATTGTGGATCTATTATGACAGTTTCCATGAATGATTTTCACAGCAGGTAACATGAGCAAATAAAACTGCTGCATAATATATACTGCATATTACACTACTGTACTTTTAAAATATAATATCTAATATTATTTTAAAAAAACTAAAAAGTTGCCACATTCAGAAACAGACAATGCTTCAATGAGCACACTCTTTTACCTGTTGTCATAAACATACAGATTACACACCTATGTGCATATGTGCCAGGGACTTCTGAATCTTAATAAGAAACTAGTCTGATTCAAAAGTGTGACCAATATTTTCCTATTTAACAGCTTATTTACAATCTATACCATTTCTTTTGATTTGAACAAAAATGTATAAAGACAGTAGTGGTGTCCAATGTCATTCCCTATCCCTCTTTATACTGCTCTATATCGGATGTCTATCATTTTGTGGTGATGTCTGAATTCTAATTTGGTGTTTCAGGAACCTGTCCTGAAGAAACCAGTATGCGATTCCAGACACGGCTCTGGGCCTTTCTCATTTCCTAAATTTTGTGTTCGCGTTTCCTTGCTTCTCTGTCTTCAAGCCTGTGAGCCGGAAGTCAATTAAATTCTGCCATGATGGACACATCAGTTCATCATAATCTAACTGCACCATGAAGAGCCAAGGATTTAGGAGAGAGAAAACTGAATTGAAAGCTAAACAACTTTCATGCACCAAGAATTACTGAATGAATAAATGAACAGTCATCCCGAATGATTCAGTGTTTTTACAGAAATCACTACAGTAAAAACTCGATTAATTGTTAATACCGAGTTCCCTTACTCTGTAACTGCAATAGATCTAACGGGAAATTTTACACAATTTTACAGTTCTTGGAAGTGATTTACAGTCTTAAAAAAAGTAAACTGGCATTACCAGATTTTCTTTTTTCATTTAAATAACTTTTTCTTCTTTTTTCCCCTTGTAAGTTATGTACATTAGGGTTTTATGTTACAATTTATAACTGATTCATCATGTAGCTTTCTCTTTACTCCCTGTGTTTTTAAGGTGGTTATCAGTATATTATAAAGGAAACAAAGACTTTAGTAATTTGGTATATCAACAATATTTCAGCTTATATCACTGTAACTGTTTATGATGCTGGCTACCAGTAGATTTACAAAATGGCAATCCGGTTAAAAAAAAAACTAAATTTGAACATATTACTATGCCATCACAACTCATCTATGCATACTATATCCACATGCACATGTGAAACAACATTCAATTAGTACTTTTTCTGGTCATTTCTGGGCAGTGTTGAGTCTCTGCTAACATCTCAGAAATCAGAGCTCTACACCATGGACAACATACAAGACCGGAAACCCAGTTTGTGCATCAACAACTTGAGGAAAAAACTCCAGCAATTCTGTTCTTGGAAGGTTCAGCAACAGCATGCGCTTAAAAAGTACTACATACAAATCCCCAAACAGATTTATGAGCATTGTTTTCTTATCAGCATGGTTACCTGTGCCGCCCTGAAGTGTTACGCTTGTCATCCAGAGCAATAACATCATCCTTAGAAGCATCCATCGAAACATTGTAGATATACCTAGAGGGGAAAATAAGGGAAAACAGAAAGACAAAGAAAACCCAACCTAATGTGCACAGGAAACAGCTCATAGACAGAAGACGCACAAGTTGTCCACTGGGTTTTTAAACCATGTTGTGAGCAGTGGCACCTCCTCATAGGGGTCATCCACACACACACACAAAAAAGAAGAGAGACCAGCGTTCATTTCCCTCCTCTGGGGCCCCATAAAACTTTATGTACCTCACCACATGTGCTAAATAGCTGCAGTGTAGATATTGACTGAGACATGCTGATTTGATATTAGTTTTAGATAGGCAGGCTAGATTAGATGATAGATAGATTAGATGATAGATAGATAGATAGATAGATAGATAGATAGATAGATAGATAGATAGATAGATTTCAGCTGTAATAAAAGTTACAATCATATTTGACTAGAAATGCATTTTTAACCATTAGCTTTATTGCCTGTATTGTGTATAAGACCCAGTCAGGTCCTTGTTTATCAGGAAAACATCTAATGTCACAAAGGTTGATTATTAAGATGAAGCTAAAGCAAGTACCGACATGGTCACCAGAGAATTTTTCTATGTGAATGTTAAACAGAGCAAAAATACATTCATCCAAACAGCAGGTCACTGTATGCTACTCAAATAAAGCATCATATCTGCACTAGCTAGTGAAAAGACTTATGTCTGGCACAGAGTTTGAAGAGACGCTGTTTATAGGTTTGACTTGCAGACGTAGAATAAAACCAGCTGACAGTCAGACACTATGTAAACTATGAGTCTTGTCACTCAAACGCTAATACACTTGAAACACAATGCACAAACACACAGGGCACCAAGTCAATAACATTACGCAACAGTGGCTCTGTTTGACGCAAGTAATCTGAAGTGCAATTTCCAGAAGAAGAAAAAAGGTAATATGACATAACTAAAAAAAATTGTATATGTTGGACCTATAAAATGTTTCATGGTACTGGATGATTACAAAATATCTTTTAATGCATTTTTCTATAACCTAATATAAACCTTTCACTAAGGCTAAGAGATACAGTTATAGCCTTTTCACAATATTCATTCTAAATCATTATAAATCTATACAATATAAATGTATTTGTTGTAAAATGGTTCCAAAACCTCTGTTTTCATTTGAAAAGTCAAAAGAACAATATCAAAGATTTTATATGAACCAGTGGTGAAGCCAGAAATCTCCAAGTGGGTGGACCTTTGTGACAGCTTCTATTCTGTCACCTTATCTATTTAAACTATAAATTTATCAGTTTTTTTTTTTTTAAATAAATGAATGAATGAAAAATCCCAATTAGGACACATCAAAAGCGGTAAAAGCATACCCTCTGGTGCTCTTCGGTCACTTTTGACCGAAAGATTTGAATTGTTTTGAATTTTTAAAAATCACAGCTTCATCGGAATGGTATGAAACTTGGTGACTGTAAAGTGAACACACACAAAAATTGAGGGCATGATTCGAGCAGACTAAGTGGTCGTAAAAAAAATAGTCACACTTGTGGTCTTCGGTCAAAAATTACCGACCTTAGGAAACGAATGGGAAATCGACAAAAACACAAATTCTGAGAATTTTTGTGTGTACAATCTACAAATCTGACACAATGCAGAAAAAAGTACACAGCAATGACAGGGTGAAACTCTAAAACATCAAGAGTGCAAAACCAACACATCCACTCACACACACCTATGAATTGGTGTGACTCTAACACAGCAAATATGTAAAATAAAAGCAATAATTCAACTACAATGCAGTAAAAAAGTGGACAGCAAGGAAGGGGTTACACTCTAAAACATCAAGAGCACAAATCAGACACACTCACTCAAACACACTCACTTACACACACTCACAGACACACACACAAACATACACAATTATACACACTCAAATGAATTGGTATGGCTATTAACATATAGCCAAAACGAGTCAGAAAACTGAAACAAGAGGTTGAAATCAGATCAAACCCAGAAGGATTAAGCTCTGATGAAACATTTCTGTTCATTTTTGTTACATTTTGATAGAATTTTAATGTTTTGTGTAACAAAATGATTTCTCTGTGTTCAGGTTTGACTGTAGTAATAATTCAAAAACTGACGCTTCAAATCAAGCTTCAAATCAACATTTAAAAAAAAAAAAAAAAATCTAAACCTTTACAAAAAGTTGTCTTTGAGAATGTCTAAATATATATATCCAAACCCACAACTTAATAAAAATAAGTATTTATGTCTAAAAGCAATTAGAGAATTTATAGGCCTTTTATATAGAGCTATATAGGAATCTATGGGCTAAACTATGGAATTGTTTTTCTTATTTTACTCCCACCAGATGGCACTAATCTGGCTTCAAAAATTGGATTTTATAGGCATTGACTATTTTAACATACAATACTGCATTCATTGAAAAGTAATATAAAAATATATTTGTAAAAAATTTGTATTATTTTCAGTGGGCAGAAATTCATCATAATTATTGCATAAATATTAATTAGTGCCATGAAATTATCTCAAAATACAAAATAAAGAAAAAATAATATTGAACAAAAATATATTATTGATTTTACTGGGGCGAAAAAAGTTAAATTTCAGGTGTCTGGTCACTTTTGACCGTGAAGATCACACGTGTGACTCCCAAATGAGGAGCACCAGAGGGTTAAATAAATATATAATCTATATAACCGAGGCAAAAAAAAACAAAACAAAAAAACACTAATAAACAAACAAATCAATTATTAAATTAATTCAACATAGGGACTTGAACAGATTCCAGGGTCTGTTTTAAGATGAATCAATTCACATGAACGATTTAAAATTTCCAAAGCTACATATGAAAGAGAGGTCTGTTTAGGATGAACCGATTCACCAGAATGAATCAGATTTTCCAACACTACATATAAGTAGAGAAGTTTAGGACAAAATTATTTACTACACTGAATCAAACTTTTAAAGGTAGGATATATTGGAGAGACTGAGATTACCCAAATGAAGTTTAATTGCCAATAAGCGTACACACTGGATAGCTTCTTTCCTTCCTTTCAATATGCAAAAACAGCTCATGAGAAAGTAAAACAATGTGGGTGCAGCAAAAGAAAAAAAATCCTGTGTCTCACTTCAGGCTGACATTCCACACACAGGACCAAAATCCTCATATCAAGAGGTGAAGGAGAGTTGAAAGCTTGACCTTTAACCCCAGAGCCTACTCTTTTCCAATACACATACACTGATATGTCAAATTACATCACCCTGACCCACCCCAAAACAAACAAAAACACACAAGACTTCTGTTAGTTAGAATGTGACTGATCTGAAACCATAGGATGATCACTTCATGTCTTCGTTTAGTAAAAGCAAGCAAACGGATAGTAAAAGTTTATCAGGCATTACAAATAAGCTTTACGTTACAACCTATATGACAAATTTCATATTAATGTTCACATTAATACAAAGGGAGGCAGGGCGCACTCTCGCTCTCTCTCCCTCTACACACACAACCTTTTTCTGTACATAAGCTACACTGTTTATGTAGAGTGCTGTTTAGTGATGTGAAGAGTGAGAATTCAATGGAACACTTTGAGCTTTACCACCAGCGATAACCATGTTTCTTTTTGTTAGACAAGTAAAGAACTAATTGTTTAGAGCACTCTACAACTCACGAGTATCAGTGCAAGTTGATAGACAGCGGTACAGTGTATAACACCATTGTGGTATTCACAAATTTGCTTAATGATAATGTGACCTAAGGCATTTGCCTTTAAATAGCACTCAAGGCCACGCTATATTATGAATAGCACAAATCAAAAGATAAGGTCTAAAAACAAACTGGGTTTCACATCTCTGATTTAGTCAGTTCCTTTTACAAATTTTTTATTTTTATTGTTTTTTTAATTTGCATGTGCTCTGCAACAGTGAAAAGTACATATTAGATATGACACTGATTGAACTATTACAAAAATAAAAATGAAACCATACCGCAAAAACATTTTTCACACAAACATACTTTTGAAATTAACAGTTATCCAAATTAACACCCAAAAACTTTCTTTGAAAGACATAATTGGATTCGTAACAAAATATGTTTTTATAAACAAATTAAACCAAACACCTTTAGTGCAACTGTACAATTACATCAACCCCAACAGCTCGCTCTGAAGACCTGCAGACCACAAATCCAACATGATCAGCTTTATCTGCGACGCACTTCATATATGGCTTTATATGGTCATTATTAATGACTGAATATCACCCACATGTCAAAAAAAGTGCTAATTGCCAATTAGTATGCAGATCTGACCTTGATAAGACTTAAAGATTAAGAGAATTAGGAGAAAAGAAATTTAGGGTTATAGAAAGAATACAGATACATTTTTGGATGAATGTGGTCGGTCACAAAATCCAGTTCAATTTAGGCTTAGCGTCGTCCTACGTTTCAGGTCATTGTAGAGAAAGGTCATAGGGTCAGTGCTCATTCATGATGCTACAGCCAGATATCCTGTAGCTGATCTGCAATCAGGAAAACAAAACAAAAAAAACAACAACTTTAAAAGAAATGACAATAAAAGGTCAAGTGTGTCTTTTCATTAAGAGATAAAACCAAGTAAGCCACCATGTGTAGGTTGACATACTGAATCGATCTAAACATTGTGATGAAAGAATATTACCAAAAATATCTACCAGATTTGGGGCCAAATGACACCCTTGGTATAAGCATTTAATCCTCAAAAGGTTAGATTTTACTGCAATTCACCACACTAAACATGTTTTTTAGTATTTTATGCGCAGCTATTTTTAGGATACTACACGAAGTTTGTCTTTAATAACAGCCAAAAGTTATAAAAGTTTTGGAAGGGGGAAATGAGAACTATTACAAACATGATTGCTATTAAACCAGATGTAAATGAGTATGAGGACCATATTCACAATGGTAAATAATTCATACCCCATATTTGCAGTATTGGCTTCTTCAGTCATCTGCATTTGGAGT